AAAAAATCTTCTCTCTTCTGATTTCTTGTGTTGCCATCTAGAGAAGTTGGCTGGAGAAGAGTGAAAAGAACCACATACATGAGGACTTGAATTCAAATATTCTCTCTCCCACAAAACAGCTGCTGGCCTTGGACAAGTCACTTCATCTCTAGATGTCTCAATTTCCTCATCTGTAACGTGGGGATAAAACCACTTATCACAGAGTTGTTTCAAAGATCAAATGAGATCATTGGGTAACAGCCCTCTCTCTGCCTATGGTTAGCTGAATCTGAGCAAAAGAAAAACTAAAAAGCTTTAAAACTCCTTCTGGAGAGATACTCAAGCTTCTGAAGCAAAGAATTTGGATATCTGCCCAAAGGGAAAAAAGGTAAATCTCTCTATGTGCTAAGTGAACAAGGCTATTTGGTTACCTACTTATTATAAATCAAAATCATGCAGGTAATGAGCAGCTTATGAGGGAAGACAGGAAAGCACAGTAAAAAGAACTTTGGAAAGTCAAGAGGTTTGGAATCTAAACTCAGCCCTGCCAGTATCTTTGCCAGTGACCCTGGCCCAGCCACTGAGTCTTTCCGGATCTAATGCTCTTCATATCTAGTAAAACAAGGGGCTGGAGCATCTAAGGTGAGCCTCCAGCACACAGGCATCCTTAGCTCAACTTATGAGAAAAAACAGGGTAAGAAAAATAGTCCACATTTGTAAAATGCCTCTTTCTTCAGAAAATCTAGGAAAGGCAAAAGCAAGCAGAGAGATTCATCTGTTGGAGAAGCATAGTTACTAGCTAGTCCAAATCGCGGCTGACCTTGTCCCCTCTCCCAAAAACTGCTGCCAGCAAGCAGGAGAGACAGTGCGTGAACTACTGGGTACCTCCACATTGACGTTCCGGATCTGCACGTTGATCAGGGAGAACTCCTGCTGCAGAGTCTGAGGCAGTCCCAACTGGTCCGATCTCCTCTCCTCCAGGAGAGTGCTAGGGGGGTCTTCCTTTGAGGCTAAAAGGAGAGAGAAGTGCAATTGTTGGGAAACGTTTTTGACAATGAATAGGAGAGAAGCTCTAGGGTATCTGCATTTTCCCAGCAATTGAAAAAAGTGGAGAGCAGAAAAACACGCAAGCCATTTCGCTTGGATTTAGGGAGACAATGAAAATACATATCCTGACAGTCTATAGACTGCCTGCTGGAAGCATGGCTAGAAGCAAGCACCTACACCTTCAGAGGGTGTTGAGTCTGGGGCCATCCACATAGT